ACTAGCAGTGATCATATCTCACAGCTCTTGTTAAGATAGTATTTTCAAGAATTTCAGCTGTCATCCATAACTCTCATCGATAAGGGTTTCAACTGCTGCTCAACAGGAACATCAGAAGGAAACCTAGCACTGGACCTGTATTTCAGAAACTTGGCCCAGATGTGGTTCATTCAGTAATGATGAGAGGAGTAGCACCAATCATATTAACAACCTTTAATTTACCGCTGTCACATTCACTAATCCAGTGCTTCGTTCCAGACTACGGGAAGCCGGCATAAGTGAAAATATTCTTTATAGTAAACCGACGCAATGATCCATCAAGGTACAGTTCTGCGGGTCTGAACGTACACTAGATTTCACCTGTATATTTGTCCTTTAGTAAGCAGCACTGCTATGATCGTCTGGTAATTAGCCATGTTGATGGTTCAAAGAACTTTTTGGTTAAGGAGGCATTTGTCTCAAAATTTATTGCGCGATATGTTGAGGTCGCCTCTCGTTCCTCTACGGATAATCGAAAGCTGATCCAGATCGTCAAAAATATTCACATGTGTCTTATGGGAGTCGAAAATCTCCCGACCTTCTTGAAATGTACCGCTGTAGTCACGAATAAACAATCGTTCGGAGACAAAAGACCGTGGACTTATGTAAAGCTATAGTAACAGTTATTAAAAAGTGGATACTACAAACTGCACAACTATTCTTTACCAATGAAGCCTACTGAATTTTATGGAAGAGATTTTTATTAGTTTCACTAAAAAGATGCAAATGCATTGTGTGTCTGAAAGTTAGGCTATAAGTACATTCTAGGTACCATGTAAAACAACTGGTGAGTTATCATACCTGGGTGTTTGCGGATGGGACTCTAATGGTTCTCTCACCCTGGTTTCTGATATCCCGTCACATCTTAGAATCAACTAATCAAGAACAGAATGTAAAGACGCATGTTAAGGAAGATAGTGCATTGATACTTGACCTTCGTTTAGTTGGCCAACCATTATTTCATAGATTGCTATTGACGACAAAAAATAGGACATAGTTTTGATTGAAAGTCAAGAAGCCTTTTGGTTTCCAGAATTATTCTTCAGGGATATAGTTATAAGTTAACTATCACTGCAAAAGGAAAAACATTAGCAAAAGAAAGATGTTGGTTTTGTAATAAGTTGAATATGTGGTTAAGAGTTAACACAGAACATATTCCTGATGTCAAAAATGACTGACAAACACTGGAAATGAAGGAAGATATTTCAGATCACTCATGTTATCAAGAAAAAGCATTCCGTTTGTCCCAGGCTATTTATGTTTGGAGTTGAGGAAACCATTCAATGATTGTGAAGTTGTCTTTTTATGCTTGCTACTCTCTAGACTATTGTCTCAACTTTGTGTTCTCTCTGTAATTCTACCAAGACAACATGTTAAATGCGAATTCAGAATCTTTGGTTATGATTAACGTGTTAGCACTCGATAAAAGAAGAACTAATTGAGCAACATTAACTATAATAAAATTATTCTTAGATCTAAACACTCCAAGTTCTTTTTTTTACTTTTTGGAATCAACAAACATTTATTCTGCTCTGCACTTCAGTCTTTTTTTTATTAGCTCGACCTGTTCCGATTTTTCGCACGTCATTGTTCACTGTACTTTGCTTTGTAATTTGTTTGTTATTCCTATAATGGTAATTCATACTAGTGACAATAACTAGTTTTAGCTCTTTCTGCTGACCTAAAATACTAATGATGTTTAGAAGTATTCGAATCAATGTGCTAACTAAGAATTCCTGAAATAGTGCAATCGAAGACAGGTAGGGCTAGATTAACACAAATGAACGTATAACATTTGTAATTCATAATCAGTGGGCAATCATGTACAAATAGGTCATTAGTTAATACAAATATCACAATGTCTTAGTCTTTCCGACCGTTAAGAAGTAGGCTTCTTTGACCGCCCTTATTCATTTGCCATTACCCTTTCCTTTTTCCTCTTTTTTACAGGTCAGTGTTTGTATCACACAGCTACTAAAAATCTACTCAAACTTGTACCATGTCCACATTGTATTCGTTCATCAAAGTTGCAACTTGTATTAAGAACCAGGTTTTGGATACTTTAGAACAACTGTAGACCTCTTCAATTGTCCGATAATAGATTTCTGTTGAATGTTTAGTTCCTATGTCCCCATGAACATTCAGTTATAAGATTTTACTAATTTAATAACATAGTCACTTTAACATCCCTAACGCTTTGATATCTCATTCGTAAATCTACGTTGTAAATTATTTACCATGCCTAATATATCCGAAGTTAATTATTATCATTGCACTTGCATAGATCTACGTTCATATTCTCTGAAACTACAATTTATTAAGACAGCGGCTCTTTTAAATAATGATCGCTTTTAAGAAGACTGAATAAGAATAGTATTTCTGAAGAAATCGGGATATTTCTGTCTAATCACACCTAGTCTATAGGAGATTTGAAAACACACATTAACTCAGTTTTTCTATGTGCCTTTTGAATGATATGAAATGGAAACCTGTCAGATCAACAATGACATTCTTTAACGATGACAGATGGACTAGTTCACTCAAACCTCAGAAATTCAACTGAACAAGTGAAATATAAACAAATTAATCAGTGTGGAAAAATTACTTAACGAACTAATCTCGCAAAAACCGCAAGTATCACTGACTGACTTGGTAACTTTTGTTAACTTTTCATCAGGAATATGTGATAATCAGGAGTTTTATGAATTAAAGTATAAACTAGGAATTCCAGAAATAACTCAACTAGATGAACACGAACAAATGTATTGTATTTGGAATTCGAAATGAAGCAGACATCGAACACAGAGGAATCATTGGTTCATATAAACACCATAGAATACCAGTCTTTCGTGGCCAAAAGATGTATAATGGAGTTATAATCATTACTCAAACTGAGCTGACGATGTGTTAACAAGTTAAGAAACAATTTAAGAAGTCGTAAATTGTCGTATACTAGAGGTTCTAAAGTTAAATACAATAACTAATTACTGAATGAATATAAACTTAAAAATTTAGACTAATTCATTCGAAACTAAGTCAACCAAATTCATGATTTCTTTTCTTCATGACAGCAACAACCACTTATGAAGATCAGTTTGACGTGGTCCAACGTATGCGTACTGTGAACTACTTTGAATTTAATTGATGTGAGATTGATGTGCAAAGATGTTTTATTGTCTGCAATATGTAAAGTAACCATTAATATAAACACATATGGATTGGATAAAATAAATTGCCTCACCCCAGTCGAGTAGATCAAGAAGTTTATTTACGAAAAACAAATTTTGTATAGTGACGTTAAAAACTGTACAAGGCAGTATATTTGAATGTCACTGGATGGATAATGGTAATAAAATAAAATAAGTTGAATAAACTTAAACAATGGATTCTTCAGCAAGTACGATTGCTGTTATAACAACAAACTTTTAAGAGTAGTATGATATCAGTGACCGGTAATGACTCCTACTTTGCTGCATATTTACCACTTGGTTGAATGGTATAGGGTACAAACATCTGTTCGCTGCTTCTAGACACCTTTGTTTCAATGTTCAGGTGGAAAATTTCATGAGGAAGTTAAAAACGCCTATTAATTTCATTGTGACTTCAAAATCCGATGAGCTAGAGAGAATAGTCGACACATTCGTGGTGACATATGCAAACGTCCAACATTTTATAATAAAAGAAACTTCATCAAATCATTAAAAGGAAGATTTTCTGTTCTAATATGGTGTGTTTAGAGTCTTTGGAAGCTACGTATTATCGTATAATATGTTTAGAGAATCTGGATTCCAGTTTCAGTTGTGTCAGATATGGTATTAATACCAACTGATGATTCATTTCACAAATGACTCGCCGCTTATATAAATTCCATAAGCAATACTTCCCATTGTTTTCCTAAAGTTTTCTCTACTTGAATATTGGCCCATATGTAACTACTGAAATACGAATCGGACAGTTCTGAGTACTAATAGTTAGTATACAGAATGCGATTACTTCTGATTATCATAATTAACCAAAAAATAGTAAGTCAATGGTAAAAATGATATACAACAATTAATTGACAATTAGTAGACAGAACTTTAACAACCCAAGAGGAAAGTGCTGTTCAAAAAGGATGAATATATCAACAAAACAATATCTTCAAAGTGAGCATTCATTTATCCAAAACAATAAACCTTCCTAACAATCAGCAAATCAATTATCAAACCCACCAGTGATAGATTTGGTCAGATGAACCCTATGAAATTAACTTAAAAGACGATCGTCTACAGTGACAGCCTACAGCATCCAAAATGCTAAGTTATGTAAGAGGGAAACAGCAGTCAAAACTCTAACAACATTCAAGCCATCTGATTATGCAATGGGGTGAAATTTAAATTCAGTTGATATTATCTGCTTGAATCATCCTATTGATGTAAAAAACTGCAATTGATCAGTCTCTAATTGGCATATGTGCATACTGTGCATATTGCCTCGATATAGCCTTAATTCACAAGAATTATAAGCAAAGATGGATAGTGGCTAACAGTGGAATCCAGGACACGCGTTTCATCCTATTTCGGACTCGTCATCTGGATGTACCTGAATCTCAGAGTTGATGTTCACTCTGTAGCTGGAACCCAGTCAAAAGATTCAAATAAACAATATCAAATGAATTGAATTTACTTATTTGTCATAAATAAATACTAAAAATATTTATATCTTACCATTTAAAGTTTAGTTTAGTTTTTCAGTTACTTAAAATATATACATTTCTAATATTATCTTAACTAATAAACTTTAAGTATTACTAATAATCATGTGTACAATATTGAACATAGATTATTAATTAACCAATCAAAATTCTCCTTCGATTTTGTTACTGTTAAAACCAAAAAAAAACACAACCAAAAATTAAAAAAATAAAAATAATAAAAAAAACTGAATAATTTGATTTTTCATTTAACTCAGTGAAATTATTATTTAATTTATACAAACTATAACTATCTCAAGTTTTCATATTCTTTTAATTTTTTTTTACTTTTCATTATTATTTCTTTATCTAAATGAAATAAAATATTATTTATTTTTTTTTAAAAAAAATTATGGATTCTTTATTTAATTTATTTATAAAAGTTAAAAATAAAACAAATCAATTAAAATATAAACAACATTATCATCATACTACTTATAATAATAATAATAATAATGATAATAATAATAATAATGGTGATGAAATGAATCCATCTAGAAAATTAAAAAAACATCATCGTTTAAAAACAATTAGAAAATGTAAGTTAAATAAATACCATGGTAACTAATAATTAAATAATTTAAACAATATTTTTACGTTTTCATTTTTATTTAGCATTTATTAATATATTACAACATGATAAAGAATTTAATGAAAATAATAAAAATTATAATCATAATAATCAATTATTTAATGAAAATGAAGAAAATTTAAATTTATCAAAAAATAATAAAATTAATAATAATAATAATAATAATAATAATAATAATAATAATGATCAAATAATTGATTCATTAAAATTAATTGAAATATATCCTGATTATTATAAGTAAGTTAATAATTCATAATAGTAATAATAATAATAATTTAATAATTAATTAATTTTTTTTAAAGAAATTTTTATAATAATAATAATCTAATTTTTCATTGTTGAAAGTATGAGTCAATTGATGCTAGACCACCATGGAAAAACTGGAAACACTGGACGACTTTTTCGTCCTATTATGAGACTCCTCAACAGTGCACATCCACGATCTCGCCTTGTGAGATTCGAACCCAGAATCTACCAGTCTCGCTCTTGAGCACTTAACCGATAGACCACTGAGCCGGCATTCAACCGTGTTAGTGTTTAACTGTAACCAATCCACGAAGTTGAGCAACTGTTCACCACTTGTCTTCAGTGAGTTGATATCTCACAACAGATCTGGTTGAACTCCACTGGTCACTACTTTTCACTAGAACTCCAGGAAGTACCTCTTGAAGTCAATCACTAGGGGTGGTCTAGCTTCCATTGACCCATGCTTTCAGCTATGAAAATACTGAAACTTTCACAAAACCCCCTCTGATAACTTATTTATTTATTTAAAACACAATCAATATAAACGAAGAATATTCTTTTCAATAATTTCTCATCAGGTTCTACAATTAATAATCCAAAATAATAATCCACAATAGAAAATTGGCCAAGTTTAACGCAGATTACATCATTTTAAAAACTCTAACTGTAACTGAATCAAGGAATGTTTATAATATAAATCAAATCGTTAATGTTAGGGTTGACTAATATGAAGTGTTAACTTGAATCAGTTTATAAGTGAAACAAAATCGTAAGGTAAATGATCAGAATAAATATAGTTGACATGGGGTAAGAGAGAGAATAATGAGATTACAAATCAGAAATTACGTAATATGTAGAATAATATGAATTAGGTCAGATATAGTAGATAGGAGTGGATGCTGAATAAATTTCTCTACAAGGTTAGCAAGTGTGATAATAATAATAATAATAATAATAATAATAATATTAATAATAATAATGACAATGGTAAGATGTGTGGATAAGTTTAGGATATAAAAATGAACACTGATTATTGACAAGTTGACCATGAAGTTGGCCAGGGTAAAAGGAGCAGTTGAACATATTTCTTTTGGATGCAAAACTCTGGCTTTTTGATCCGAATAGCAATTACCTCAGCCGTCTACAGGATTCTCACTCTGATGGAATTCGATAGACTACTGTTAACACTATATTATACTATACACTGTATTATTGTGAAAGATTGCTCCATGTTGGGAGGTGCTCACGAGCCCGAATATATAAATTCCTAGAACATCTGACTATATTTTCAAAAAAATTTCTATAATAATCATAACAATAATTTTATTTTTATTTCGATAGTGTAATAAGAAGACGAAGATTATCAGAACTATGTGATAATTTCTTAGCGCAATACATTTCGAACAATCTGATCATACATGGGATATATGAACATGTACCAAAATGGTTACGAAAAAAAAATCAAATAACTCGATATGAGTAGATAATAAACATCCATCATCCTCTATTGCCAAACGCATAATCGAAACAGGTCATAAGATTGATCTTAATTCAGGCTTTTATGGTGTTGTACTCGTGCTGAGAATTCTATATTGTACCAGATTATAATATTGAATAAAGCCATTAATAATAATAATAATAATAATAATAAAAGTGTAGAAAGGGTTTATACTAAGGTTTATTGAAGCCTTAGCCATACGAAAATTAAAACCACCTTTTGTGTATTCAAAAACAGTCACCTTAAACCTATCCTGGTATTATTAGCTTACTATCCAGAGTGATTAGCTTTCAAATTGTTTTCACATTATTATTATTACTATTATTATTATCCTTGTCTCTTCTTACTCCCCATTTCCAGTCTAGTTGATCTTTTATTTTTATATATAAATGTTTTTAACAAGTGTGTTACATGTGATCAGATTGCTCGAAATGTATTACTCTAATATATCATCATCCTAAACATCAATAGAAAGATTCAAACAAACAATACTAAGTGAATTTAAACTTCACCCCGTTATACAAGCAAGTGGCTATCAGGACTCAGTAGCTGAGTGAATAACGCAATGGCGTTTGAAACGAGGGTACTGGGTTCGAGTCTCAGAGTGGACATCAACCCTGAGATGCAGTTACATCAAGCTGACGAGTCCGAAATAGGACGAAATGCGCGTTCTAGATTCCACTGCTAGCCACTATCCATTTCTGCTTACCATGCTTGTGAATTAAGGCTATATCGAGGCAATACGCACAGTATGCACATATGCCAATAAGAAATTGACCAGTTACACTCATAACACATCGATAGGAAGATTCAAACAAATAATACAAAGTGAATTTATATCATCATATATTTCTGATAATCTTCATCTTCTTCTTATTATACTATTGAAATTTATCAAAGGGGACTAATTGTTTTAATTTTTATTTATTAATTTTTTTAAAAAGAGATTTCTACCATTATCATCATCATCATCAGCATCATCATGATCATAATGATGATGATGATGATATTGAAGCTTATCAAGAATATCAACAAACTTTAAATGAAATTAATTCTATATTAATGAATTCAACAATAAACAATCAAAATTATACAGAAGAAGAATTGAATGAAGAACTTGAAAATTTAAAGGTATTCAAATAAATTTTATTATATTGTGTCTATTGAATTAGTTACTATATATATATATATATATATATATATATATATATATATATATATATATATATATCTTACATGAATTACTAAAATCTCTTTTTTGGATCTATAAAAATATGTTTTTGAGTAATTCAGTTTAATTGAATAGATGAGTTCATGAGTTCATTGAAGTTAGATCATTAAGGAAAATCCCTTTCTCATAATGATCATCATATACACACTAGTGACTAACTTCAAGATAGATTTTCATGGAGTTCTAGTGAGAAACTGTAATCAGTGGACTTCAACCCAATCTGTTGTGAGGTAGTTACTCACTTGAGACAGTTGTGGACGCTGATTCAATTTCGTGGATTAGTTGAAGTTAGATACTAACACCATTGGATGTCGGCCAACTCAGTGGTCTGAAACTTAAGCGTTCACGCGCCGGACCGATATGTCCTGGTTTCAAATCCTGCGGAACGGGGTCATGGATACTCACTGCAGACGAGTAAATTAGTAGCAAATACTTAAACACTTTATAATTGGAACTGAAGTAATGGTTATAATTTACATAGTTTAGTAGTCAGTTGTATGGTCGAAGCGGGATCATGGATACGCACTGCTGAGGAGTCTTACAATAGGCTGACTAGTACTTCCAGGTTCTTTATAATGGTCTAGCTTTAATTGATTCATGAACTCAACTATTAAATTATTGTAATATCCACAAAACCCTTTTCTAATAATTAAGCATAAAATAAATATCAATTGCTTTATATGTTTATATATATACCCTGTTCAAAAAATAAGTGAACTGATTTATTTGAATTTTTGTTGAAACTTAGAAGAAAAAACTTGCAGGAAATTCGTAGAAACATAACACTTATAAGTTAATCAAGTTTTTCATTGAAATCCGAGAAAATTTAGATCACTAATTTACTACTCATACGATCAATAATGAATTGAATTTTACAAAACTATTCGTACACAAGGTCTTAGCTAATGGCGAAATAGTGAGATAGGTCAACAATCTGAAGTATAAAAACATCCAGGAATGTTTTGAACAATATAAATGGTAATAAAATAAATGTATGGCTACAAACAAAGATTATTTAATGGGGGTTAAAATTGATACATCCTAATTTATGTTAGATAAAGCTACTACAATCTCATCCCGTGCATTTATTGGACACGCTACGTATATATTATTCAGAAACCTTAAGAACAGTAAATTAAGCCAATATCATCTGACTAGCGACCCAGATATATCTACCTTCATTTTATCATAAATAATTAAACTTTTGTTGTACTGTACAATGTAAAACTGTTGGATCAAACATGGAACCTAATACGGTTTTTAAATTTTGTCTTCCGAAGCTTCCTATTCAGTTAAGCTAATATGTTAACCTCCAACGCTTGACTAGCTAAAGTATAAATGGGCAAAAACAAAACTATAAACAAGGCTTTATTATCAAACACTGAACATAGTGATTAACTTTGTAGGTGAATAAAACAACCGCTTACCTTAACGCGAGATGCCAGCTACTGTAGAAATACGTTGAAGGAAATCTAGAGGCATTTAAATGAAGGAGTGGCGGTAGTTCATGAGATCACTAATTATTAGAATAAATCTTGTAGATATCTGAGTATTTCTTGATTAGGTTAGCATGACATTTACAACCAATGGTTTGAAGACTTTGAGTGACATAGCTCGGAATCGTTTGATTAGTATCCTATTTCTTTTCCATCACTAGCTACCTGAAAGAAATTATTGATTCTTGTTGATTTGAAATATTTCATTAACAACACCGTAATATTTTATCTTTGAATATATAACTGATAATACTTGAAATGACTATTGCTTAACTTTAACATATGTCTTTATGTTAGGTTGACAGTATATAAACAATTGTATTGGCAAACATAGATGATCAGTTAGAAATATGATCATGTGAGACTATCAAGGTGAGACTATAATTTATGGATGATCTTTTTAGAAACTCTAAAATAACTTTGAGAATATCTACCAACTTACTAGAGCTAAATGAGGATTATAAACTTTGTATGAAGAATAAAGATTGTGTTTTATAGTTAAGAGTTAGATTCAAAGTTTTCATAATAAAATAACATCAGCTAAAATGCCATAACACTATTTGATTAAATGAGTCAATAAATTTTATATGCCAAGATAGAACTGCGTATTGTTTTTATTTGGCTCTTCCCAAACCATGCTAGTAGATGTTCACTAACATTCTACGCAGCCTATCTTGCATTGACTTTCTTGAGTCGACCAGTGATGTCTACTAAAACGAAGGATAAGTAACCTTAGTTGGCCTCCTCTATGTGCATTTATAAGTTCAGGTGCTCCTGTGGAGATAGCTATATCGGGCGTACTACTAGGCAACTTAACCAACGAATGAGTGAACATCTACCAGCATGGTTTGGGAAGGACCAAATAAATTTTACGCCAAAATCCAAAACCAGTTATCCTAAATCTGATTAGTTCATCCATAAATTATAGTCTCATCGTAATAACTATTTAGTTATAGACTAACATTTACTAACATTAAAAGTAGTTAACTGAATGGTCGAATGATCATATGTAAATAAGTACATATCATATGGTTTATTTTGTAACTGTTATATCTGGAGCTTTAGAATTCTTGCTATACCGCGTACTACTAGACTACGTGAACGATTGAACTCACAACGTCGCAAGAGAGAAGACAGAAGACTAATAAGTAGGAATGTTATTCTCAACACAATATCAAATAAAATACAAAACTTTCATGTATTTATAGTTTTCGGCTGAAAGTAAATCATCATTTTGGACAGCCAATAGACACATCCAATAAGGTAGTTACACGTCGACATTCTAGAATGGTCCTCTATCGGTGATCAGGTGGGATATCTTCGGCTCTTTATGGATTTCTTGAAGCTTCCTTGAGTTTATCAACCGGTCATCCTTACAGTAACTTTAGTTTCTAAACATCTATTTAGTCACTAAAGGCATCTCTGTTAACTTGTACAATAAACAGAAGTTTTTGTTTAGAGGGAATTATGATTTCAGCCTTTATAGGAAATATACAATATTATAACAAACTATCGAATTTGTTTAAATGAAACTTTGTTTTAAGTTTTAAGATTAAAAAATACATAGACATCTATAATAAATATTCTATGCTTTAGTTGTTAATTACCTATTAATCAATAAATCAATAATTTACATTTATTTATCATTATTATTATTTGCATAGATACATGAAATTATTGATTTATTACTATCCAATACTATTTAGTTCGATTTCTTTATTGATTCTTTATTGATTAACAATACAATTTAATTATTTATTTAGTATTGTTTGTTTGAATCTATCCATTGATGTTTAGGATTGCAATTGATCAGTCTCTTATTAGCATATATATGAATCCTGTATAGATTGCCTCGATATAGCCTAAATTCACAAGGATTGTAAGCAAAAATGGATAGTGGCTAGCAGTGGAATTCAGGATGCGCGTTTCGTCCTATCTGGGACTCGTCAGCTGGATGTACCTGCATCTCAGAGTTGATGTTCACTCTGGGACTGGAACCCAGTACCTTTCGCTTCAAACGTCATCGCGTTATCCACTCGTCCACTGAGTCCTGATAACCACTGCTATCCACTATCCATCTTTACTTACAATGCTTGTGAATTTAGGCTATATCGAGGCAATACGCAAAGTATGCAAATATATCAGTAAGAGACTGACCAGTTGCAGTCCTAAAAACATCAATGGGAAGATTCAAACAAACAATACTCAGTGAATTTAAACTTCAACCCATTGTACAAATAAGTGGCTATCAGGACTCAGGAGCTGAGTGGTTGATGCGATGGCGTTTGAAACGAAAGGTATTGGATTTGAGTCTCAGAGTGAACATCAACCGTGAGATTCAGGTACATCTAGCAGACGAATCTCAATTAGAACAAAACACGCGACCTGGATTCCACTGCTAGCCATCTTTACTTACAATTTAATTATTATCTACTCAGATACTGTTTTATTTTTTTAATTTTAAAGAAAACTACATTTTAACAAATTATCAATCTTTTTATGTGTATTGTAGTTGATGAGGCTAAATCAATATTTGACTTGATAAATGAAGCATTTAAAGTTGAGTTCATTAATATTAGTTAATGTACTATAACATTTAAGACTAAGAGATAATACTGTTTTATGCCGATGAGAATTATGAATGGTAACTGTGGGGATCCATTCATGGATTAACACTATACATATATTTTATATTCTATAATTGTTAAGTAACTAAACTATACATATTCATGTTTCTCTTATTATAAGCTTTATTTTGACCTATGGATTATGATGATCCGGTTTACCGTTCCTGAGTTATCTTACGTCTATTAATTAAAGTCTCCAATATTCACAGCCACTTTTGGCTAGATCTTCTACATATGTTATTTTCTATTTCGTGGTACAATGTGGTATGTTTGGTTTGTATATAAACCTAGTATGTTAGAACTACATGATTCATATTGCAGAAATTGAGATTGATGTTCTGGATTCAACAGGCGAGGCTAGGCATGAAGAAGGACCGAAAAGAACTCTAGACTGCTCGTACAGGTTTATGTGTTATTGGTCCGGTCTATAAGTCAATGGTCTCTAAATGGCGATATCATTACGTCACATATTGATAGGGACAAAAGGCCACAAGTTATAACAAATACTTGTAGCTGAATATTCGATAATGCTATATTAGAGTAATTGAAAACATATTTTTCTAGCATTTCTGGAAATGAATCTTGAGTTTCTGTTGATTTTAAACTTTTCATTAATTCTGACATTATGTTTTCTGTATGACTTCTCGTAACAATATCAATATAATCTTTCAGTTTGAAATATTCACCGTTTGACAAATTATCTAATGTATATGTTCGTAATGAAATATTCCGTTTCATTAATGAATTCAATGTTAAAAGCTTAAGTGGCCCTAGTGT